GATTACGTTGCATGAGTGCCCACTACTGGCTGAACTCTTGCAATGGACTGAACTGGAACGTCCTAAGCCCTTGATCACTTACAATCTGCTATAGAGTTGGTTTATTGTTTGCATTTTTCCTCTTACGAATTTGTTTGCTGCAGCATTCTATATACAATTGGGTAAAAGATACAACAGAAACCACAGATATACAATGCTGCAAACTGTCCCCCGCCCCCAACCAAACAGAAAAAAGAACATTATAATACCTAGATCTAATTCCCCAACTGAGGATGATTGCAGAAGAAACATAACAAATAACTTTAATTGTGCAAAATAACAGCAAGAATCGTCATATACAATCTAGGTGTAGTCCCTTTTAAAAACAAGTTCAGGAACAAATTGTGTCGTTTTATTCAGTACATTATCAGGCTAATTTAATAGAAAAAAAGAAAAACAGAAAAGCTCTCATAAGAACACCAGTTGATCTTGATTTCATGGAATTTTCTGTATGCTACATTGCAAAACCTCTGGGCATTTCATGTCACTGTCCCAAACAAATTAAAGAGTTTGGGTTTTCCACGAAAACGTACAGTAACATTGATCAAGACCTCAATAGATCAAGACCTCAGTGATCAAGACCTCAATTGATTGGTTGCCCAGATTAAAAAAGACATTTCCTCTGCTGGATTGACCGAATGGTCAAAAGTAGGCTTCAATCCATGGTGATTCACATTCAGTGGAGAAGAGTAGCTGCTTCAGTGCACAAAGTGGATTTGACAGGAGTCCTATCCAGAATGTACAGATTGGTATTGGTGTGTGGTACGCTGCACATATTCTGTGAGAGGGCCTCTGTCTCTCTGGCATGTGGATACTAATCACAAGTTAATAAAGTTTTGTCATTTTCCATTGTCATGTACTCCTATGAGTATTTCTTATAAACCCACGTCTCCTTGCACTATATTAGTAAAAATCCATTTGCAAAATGCTCATTTTGTGCTAAAAGCTTTACTTAATAGGTACAACATAGTCAGTTTTGGAGCAGTGGATGAATACTCCAGGAAGGTAAGAGAAGTGTGGTGTTTTCTTCCATCACCGAAGTTATCCTAATTTTTATATGATGGATGGTTGGATCACAAAGTTCGTATGTTAAAGGAACACTCCACTATTTTTGAAAATAGGCTCCCCTAGAGTTAAACAGTTGAGTTTTACCGTTTTCGAAACCATTCAGCCGATCTCCGGGTCTGGCGGTAGCACTTTTAGCTTAGCTTAGCATAGATAATTGAGTATTTACTAATCTTTGCCAGTGTTAGTTAAGTAACATTAAACGATACAACTTTTGATTCTAATAATGTATTAGTAAATGTTGGAAAATCAAGGAACGTACCATGGGTGCAGCAGGCGCAATGATATTACGCAGCGCCTGAAAATAGGCTAACTTCGCTAACTTCCGCTGGGAATATTTTCAACCGCGCTGCGTAATATCATTGCGCATGCTGCACCCATGGTACGGCAGCAAAGTTCCTTGATTATTACGCCGGAATGAGAGTATAGTTCCTAGCCATATCAGCCTAGAAAATCTTAGTACACTATGTAACTACAGAAGAGTCAAGTTTAAATAGGAAAAATATAGAAACTCTTTGGTCATTTTTGAGCGAGATGCTAACGGTCTAATCAGATTCAATAATCTATGCTAAGCTAAGCTAAAAGTGCTACGCCAGACCCGGAGCTCGGCCGAATGGAT